ACTAACATATAAAGTGTCTTGTTCACATTAAGTGTAAGATAGACATTAACCATAGTATAAATGTGAATAAATGGAGACATCCACATGAATCATGTCCAAAGTAAACTGAGTGATCAGAATGATCAGAATTTATCAACAGAGAAATGAGATTTAAAATGTAAAATATGACAAAGACATGAGATTTAAAATGAGTGAACAGAATGATCAGAATTTATCAACAAAGAAATGAGATTTAAAATGTAAAATGTGACCCACAAACACTGGATCTGCATCCATTTGAGTTATTATAATGTCAAGGAAAAGAACTTACCATAGGTATTATAAGAGGCTAATATGAATTTTTTTCAAAATTTTAAAGTGCATTTTTTCTTCTACTTTACAGTCAATAGCAATCTAGTAATTTCTGTTGTCTTTTTCATAAATAAGCAGGATGACAAAATAACAGTTTTGACCATTAATACTGATACGTTAGCATCACTGGATTAAGAAATGGCCAGGAAATTAATAGAGCATGCTCCTGGGTGTGCCATGGCTTGTGACCGTGGGGCCAATGTCTGTGCTTCACGCCTTCCCTTCAGGCACTGTTGCCCTGCTCTGCTTCCTGAGCATCATGAACTATACCGCATCCTTTGCCCATGAGGTTTCTGCTTTGGAGCTGTTGACCATGGACTGAATCCTCTGGGATCATGAGCCAAATCAAGCCTCTTCTCCTTAAGATATTGATGCTGGGAATGGGGTATCAGCAACGGGAAAGTTGATTAACACATTAACTGAATTTTAATTTTCTTTTACTTGTTTACATAAAGAATTATCCACTGGTAGCATAAAATATATCAGTTGTAATAAAGTTACTTGGTTTATCACATCATGAACAATAATTTTTCTTTTTTAATAAGCCACATAAATTCCTATCTTGTTATCACCAAAGAGCTGAGCTGTGTGTTTACCTTCCAGTGACAAACCAAAAGGATATATTCTACTTTAAGAAGGGGAAAAAACATTTAAATCAAAATTCCCCATTCTTCCTTTAATTTGCATAACTCACTGATTTATAACTTGTAGGCCAGTTTTCCTTTCATGTTTTTCCCACATATAAGCTATATTTAATGATGGAAACTGTTGACAATTCCTAGAGGACCCCAGAATTCTAAACTGTTGCTGTTGTTTTATAGTCATGTTATTTTTTACATTTTCTGACTTTTCCCTAGAAACTCCCAATAGGAATTTAAAGAAAAATAATAAGAAGAAAACACTTCCTTTTTCATATATTGTAAGTATATAAGTCATATGAATAAAAATTATAGTTACATACTACTCAAATGCTAAATAAGACAAGGGGCATGTTGGTTTGCTACTTACAAAACTAACCCAGTTGAATACTATATATGTATCCACATCACAATGCAGAAATGTGTTCAGATTTTAGGAAAGAAATCAATTATTTCTGCTTTCTTTTAATTAAAGGAAGTATGATGCTACTGAAAATTTTTAATTTTTAATTGATTTAAATGCCAAAAACCTAAAATCAAGACTGAAATTGCACTTACACGTAATGGTTTAAAGTGAAAAAAAGAAAAGAAACACTTGAAAAACCCAAGAAACAAGTTTATAACACGGTAAATGTAATTTCATATTGAAGACTTCAAAAGAGGACATCATTATGGAAAATTTAATTTTTTTACAGTTAAGCTAGTTTGTTAAAGCTTGACAAAGCTTCTTTAGAAACCATGTGTAATTTATCTTTGGCACAACAATGAAGAATAATTTAAGATATTAACACAAAGCGAATATGAGGAGGCACAGTTCCATGTCGTCCTTTAAGCCTGACTAATTTCACTTACTCCTATCTGAGTTAAATCTGAAGATTTTCAGTTGATTTTATAAAGAAAGAAATGGAGTCAAGAAGGAAGAAAGGAAAGAAAGGAAATAAGAGAGGACAGAAAATAGTTTAATATCATGCATAATGGCATTCATTTAGAACAAGACTTCATGAAATATCATATAATGATATAATAATTATGAGCGAAATGGTTCTATTATTCCCAATATAACTAATTAGAATCATTTTATACATATGCATAAAATAGTTTTAAATTAGTCTTTACTGAATTTACTTTTTATTTATAAGTTAGGAAAACTGGTTTGGGCTCCTGTAGGGTGAAATCCCAGTGAGGGAAGCTGGAGGAGACTAGGTAGGAACAACAAATGTCTGCCACACTTCTGCAGGCCTGTTGATAAGGAGAACAGAAAACGAGGCATAATTAAAGATTTTTGGTCCAGAGGGATTTTTATGGAAAGATGTGTTGAGGTGTCTGTCGCTTTACACTGAAAGGAATAATGGAGCAGAAAGGAACACAGGCAGCGGAAGAGGAAGGGGAGATTACAGAAGTAAGGTCCTGGAGAAGAGACTGGATTTAGACAAAGGGACAGGGAGGAGCAGCTGTCTTCTGTAGACGGAGGGAGGGCAGAGAAGTTGGGTACACGAAGTAGATCATCCCTGACGGGATCTCTCATCCTGCTGCTTCTACTTAAATTCAAGGAAGTCATCAGTGGGGGGAATGTGGTGTGGAAAAAGAAGAAATGTGAAATCCTCCAGGAGAATGAATGTGACTAAAAAGAAGAAAGACTTTCTATGTCTTTCTTACACTAACTTGCTGCTTTCTACCTTTGCACTCAATTGTTCTAATTAGTAAATCTTTGATGAATGAAGATGTATCTATATTACCTTACACTTCTGTATGTCTATGGTACATTGGTATTGGTAGCTTAAATGTATTTTGTGATACGGAGAGTTTCACTTGAATCATCAGATAAAGACTACACTGCCAAATGAGTCAACTTTAATTTACTTATTGTTACCTTGTTTTAATTTATTAGCTCATATTTGTAGTATGTAATGTAGTACACAGGTCTTGTCTTGAGTTCGTACATCTACATAACTCATCTTTTTTATCCCTCTTCTCTCTTCTCCCTCATTCCATCTTCGGTTCCCCTTTCTATTTTAGAAAGATCTATCTCCCTTCTTCTTACTCTCCTTTATTTTGCTCTTTATATTTATGTTCTCTCATATAACAGAAACCGTGTGAACTTTAAGCTTGTGTGTCTGATTCATTTCACCTCACATTATGGTCTCAGAGGACATCCATTGTCCTACAAATGACTCACGTTTATCCTTCTTTATGGCAGAGTAATACTTTATTGTGTGTAAATACAATATTTTCTTTATCAATTCATCTACTGATGAACATATAGACTGCTTCCAAGATTTAGGTATTATGAACTGTGTTGTTATAAACATGAGTATGCATATGTCACTCTGTAATATGATATATTTAAGGCTTCTGGGAAGATCCCTAGAAGGGGAATAATTGAGTCAACTGGCATTTGCATTTTTAGATTTTTGGGGGACTCTCCATACTGATTTCCATAGTAGCTGTACGAGTTTACATTTTCACCAATAATATAGAAGGGTTTCTTTTTCTTTGCAGCCTCTCCAGCATTTCATTTTGGTAAAGGGACTTCGCAATCTGCTAAAAACCTGATATGCCTAGTTTATGTCCTAAATATTTTTCTATTCCATCACCACTGTACTAATTCCAATTTCATTATACTTTGTGAGAATTTCAAAGTAGCCTTCTAACTAGCTTATTTCTGGACTTACGAAGGTACTGCATTCAGATATATTTCCTGTGCACTCAATGAAAATCTGATTATGCTACTTCAAACTGAAAATGATATGCAGTCATCTAGAGGCAGCTACGTACTTGACAATTCAGGCCTACTGCTAGAGAGCTAGATTCGGGTTATCTAGATTTTTTTCCGAGCCCTGGATATTTTACTTATAAAGTGAGATGCCTGCCCTGCTTAGCTCACAGGCTGGGGTGAAGATTAAACACAAAGATGTGAGAAAGTGCTTTGCACCCTCTAAATTGCTCTGCAACCTAACGTGGTATCATTAAGAGAGTGTGAAAGGTGAAGCAAAGTCATTCTCTTATTCCAAGTCAGAAGGATTTTGGAGGAAGTTCAAAAATGGCTGAGCCTCTCAAAGTGAAATTTTGGCCTTGTGAATGACCTTATATTTATTGACAATGGAAAAAATTTTTTTTGTTGGATAAAGGAAATAAGAATCATAAAACAATGCAACAAAAATAGGGATATTATGGAACTTATAGAGGAAATCTTGCATGAAAATATCCAAATTTGGTTAGTAAAAGAATGGAGGGAGGACCAGGTGCAAAATAGATGAAAAGCTCTGACAGACATCCTCAGAAACTGGTCCTAGCTCCTGGATCCTTGGAACAGGCAGTGGACCTTTGAATGAAGAAACACTAAAGTGATACTGAGTCTGTCTGTCTGCCTCTCTCTCTCTCTCTTTCTCAGTCCTAGGGCCTGAAAATGAGGCTGTGTTTGTCCACAGAGCTACATGCCCAGCCCTTCTTTTTACTTATTGAAAGACAGGAATGAAATTGAGAGGTTTATCTTTTTCTTTCTGCACTTACTTACTATGGATGCTAGTTTTTTTTACTTTAAGTCTAAAAAAATGTAACCTATCTATGTCACACATGCAAGTCCAAAAGAAACTTGAAGACAAAATTTATAAAGACTTGTTTAAACATATAACTTATTAAGTATAAATAGGCCAATGAAGTGAAAAGGAATAATAAGCAAATTTTAAGAGGTTGCAACATTTCATAAAACGGGTAGTTATAGCAAGAATGTTTGGAATTGCCTATATTTTCTAGCCTACTTTTGCTATTTAAGGCTCATCCTTTGGTTCTTTCAAGTACAATGACCAAAATATTAGGAAGAATGTCAGGATCAGAAGGTGAATTTAAATCTTTTGCTAGGTGCTTTTTGATCTCCTGCTTGTTCCATATTAAGAGATCGTGTTTCATCTCTGCAATTTTCTCCCTACTATTGGCTGCAGTGGGTGGAGTCTGACGACTCGGGTCCTTTCAGTTTCCCACTGACAACTGTCCTTCAGTCTATGGTTCCAGTGCTGCAACTTAGGGGCCACTCTCTGGGGCTGCTCAAGACTCCTCTTGTGTTGCTTTAGCTTGGAATCTGTCTCTGCTAGCTGGCCCTAGTGAGTAAGCTTCATTACCTCCAAGACAAAGTGCGTTAATATTCCTTCTTTTAAATCAAAATACAAACAAAAAGCAAGCAAGAAGAAAAAATGTGTTCTTCAAAATCTAAGGACAAAAAGTCAGAATTATTCAACTCAAGGTGTGAAAGGAGAAGTGACCATCTCCTATGAAATGGAAAAAAAAAAAAGAAAACACAAAATCAAAGAAAACCACAAGATGGTCTGGGAAAGCTGAAGTGCTGCAAGAGGTAAGAAATTGACTCTGAGCTAATCAACATGTCTATGTACAGAACCATTAGCTCAGTCTAAAACTGTACAGTGGAAAGAATGAATAATTGTGGAAAAGGCATCTAGATTTTAAAAAAACAACTGCCTGGGTATTAGACGAAATTTTGGTTCCATTACATCACTAAGGCTCTCCAGAGATAAATGGAAAGAAATGCATTTTATAAAAATTAACAATATTCTATTCACAAATTTCATGATGAGACCAATTTTCTAAACTTTACTTTCTAAAATTCAAACCACTTTCACTCACAGTTGCATCAAGATTCATAGATCTTTTTATTTTTAAATACTTTTTGTGTAGTTTCATTGTAAGATATTGGAATTGTATCATATTGCCTATTTCTGTTGGATTTGGGAAAAGAATCTTCAAGTTTTGGAGAAAATTGCTGTTGGCTAAACAAAGATTCACAATTACTAGGTACAGTACCTTATTCTAGTTAATGGCTGCTTAAATAAAAAATTATCTTACTAAAGGGCATATATTCTAAAGTTTGCAGGCATAAAATATGATTTATATTTGTGAATGAATGAAAAACATGTTTGTAAGTATAAATCCAAGAAACAAACCTTTAAAAAGGTCAAATCATTTGTCTTACCACACTGTGGGTTGCACTGAAGAAATAAAATAAAAACATAGTTTATATGCTTTACTGTTGCTCATACCTAAAACTGTTGCTCTATTTAGAAGCCAACATAGTTAATAAATGTGGACAATATTTTAAAAGTCCAAATCTAACTGAGATGCAATCCTTTCTGGCTCAAAATCTCCTTCCTACTTTAAAGACAAAATCCCAGTGATCCTCTCCACTTTCATGTCCAGCACCGTGGCACGTGCTCTGCGCTGTAGCCACCCTCATGGTTTCCCATGGACTTGCGCCTGTCATAGCTGTCTAAAGGGCATGTCCTCTCCACCTCTAGGGGAACCAGACTGGATCACAGGACTCAGCAGCAGCATCACACCATTCAGGAAAGATGGCTTCACCCTCCTTCCTGCACCTCCATCGCTCTCCTGGCTCTTAGTTTATATCCCCACACCTCTTAGCATGAATATGTTCTAGAAGGTAGGTTCCTCTTCTGATTATCCTTTGGTCCTAGATTTTCAGTGTCAAGTCATACGTTTTACTTATTTTTCTTTAGTACATGTGGTTGAACACAGGGCTTCTTTCATGCCAGACAAGAGCTCTACCACTGAATCCATCTGAAGCCCTTGGGTCCTCATCTGCTTTTATGTCCACCCCAGAGTGCGGCCTGAGACACGGTAACAAGTGGTGGCCAGAGAAGGATATTTCAGTGTTTGTGAGCTTCAGGTCATTGCAGTTTTGTGGAACAACAAGGTATGACAGCATGTCCAGATGACATGGAATTTGAGGAACCAGGAAGCCAGTGTTGAAAAGCATTACCAGGGACAGGGTGAATTACTGCATTTTCTGGATCCTCTGCGGTTGGCTGGGCTACATAATTAGTTCCGGCTAAGGAGCTGTTGACTAGCATGACACAGGTCAGACCTCAGGCCAGAGCATTTAATTGCAGGTTGGAGAGCCAAGAGAGCCATCTTCATACCATGAGAAGGGTGTCCGAGAGGGACAAGAAAGGAGGCCAATGTAAGAGGCCATAGCAGAGACGCAGTAAGAAGTGTCCAATAAAATGGAATTTGGCAGGAAGATGACAAAGTGTGTTGATGGTTTGGTACCGGGACAGTACCAAGTCCATGTGCAACGCTCCACTGTCAGGTCCCTGAGTAACCATGGGGGGTGGAACCAAATGCCCCGGCCCGCATCTGGCCAGGGAACTGTAATGAAGGAGCACTGAGAGTGGCAGATGAAGCCACCACGTCTGGGGGATGTTAATGACTGCAGCACAACCGTGCATAACCCAACCCAAGGGAGATGCAGGCAAACGGCATAAAGAAGGAGCAGCTAAGAAGCAGGATGCGGGGTGACAGCACCAGATGGCATAACAGTGGCTTGAACATGACAACATGGAAAAAGACAAAGTGTTCCCTAGACACACAGGAGAGAGGAGGGTGGCAGCAGACGAGGTCTGGAGGGCTGTGTGCTCCTGCCAGGGCAGAGGGCAGGAAACTGTTGGGACAGTTACTTTAGTCTAACTTCATTCTTCAGTAGAGCTATATTGATAATAACCATGCAGTGGTAAGTAAACACTAGTTTCTGTATCATTAAGTAGGCCCAGCTGTATATCCACAGAGCATTTGGGAAGCATTTCCTAACAATCATTGGTATTTTAAAAACATGTTCACATGAACATTTAAAAAAAATCATTTTTGCAGCGCTGGGGATTGAACTGAAGGCCTTTGCAGCAGCCCTTTTCTTTTTCTTTCTTTTTAAAATTTTGAGCCAAGAGTCTCGAAAAGTCGCTAAGTTGCCATGGCTGGGCTCAAACTTGCCATCCCCCTGCCTCAGCCTCCCAGACATGAGCACTTTTAATACTTTACATTCAGCCCTTTGACATAAAGATTAGACTGTGGCTGACTCAGGCTATCCGCAAATAGAAAAACGTATTTTTTTCCCATCTCAAAACACATTCTGCTTTCTGCCCAAATTCCTACCCACATAACATCCATACTGTTGCTTTCCTTTTTTCCCCAATGCTGCTTAGTTTTCTTCAGGCATATTTGTATTTTTAGATCAGATAAAATGAATAAGGAAGTTATTTCCCTGAAAAATATGCAGTGTGATTCAAAGAAAATGTTAATGAAATGAAAAACTTTAAAGTTGTGTGAAACACAGATATATAGCAACTAATTCTGTCTCTCTACTCAATTGCTTTTCTTTGTGCATCTGAAGTACTTTTCTTCTGAGATTATGTGAATGTGTAAGTGCTTGATTGACAAGATTTTTAAATGGAAGAGAAGGGGGGAAATGTACGCAGTGGAAGGGGGAATCTAATGTGTGTAGTGTTATCTGCAGGGTAATGGTATCTTTACTAGTCACTGTTCAAGACAGTCATCTCTGCACAGACAGACCTTCCACTGACACAGCGCAGCTGCTGAAAACGAAGAGGACTCTGCCCAGGTTGTTAATTCCATGTCAGACACGATGGGGTTGTCTTTCATGGCCACCGTTTCATTCCTCCCCTGCTCTCATACTGCCTGACAAGCAGTTCAGAGAGAAGGGTTGCTAACCATATTCCTGTGCCCACAAAGAAGCCCAAATAAAACACACACCCTGGCTGAACTCTTAGGAGGGTCAGATGGCCCAGCTAGTGTCTGTTGGTGTACCTGAGGCCCAGTGCAAAGGGTGGAAGAAATATTTGGTGAGGAACTTCTAAGTGGGAAAGATGTGTTTTTGAAACAGCTTCTATTTTATAGCAGCTACACCTGGCAGAGTCCCAGGGCAAGGTGAGTGTGCTATAAACAGTGAAGTCTCCTTAGTGAAAACTGCTGCATACTGAGAGAACTCTGTGGGTGGAAAAAAACAGCCAAGAGTGTCACCTGAACTTGCTTTTTTAAAAGCAGGTTTCACATCAGTTTTAATGCAACTGGGAAGGACATCAATTTCCTGAAGACAAATTATTTGGATTTAACCCCTACTGAAACCTAAGACTGTATATGATCAGCAACACTGTATAATCCAGCAACACTGGATTAGAAATTAAACTCAGTCTCAGAACTTCAGTAAAATTAAGAAGCCAGCTGCATTCCTGGTGCACAGAAATGTACGTTTCATAACCTACTTTTTCATCTAGTGCATCTGTTAAATGCTATAATAGCCATATCCAGGATTACTCCAGAGATCAAATTAAGAACATTCCTCATTTGTTGGGTTGTCTCTAAGGAAAACACAGGAAAACAAATGGTAATCAAAAGATTAATGGACTTCTCAATGTATAATACATTAACCACTCCTACAACCTTTGGGAAACAAAATTGAGATTAAAAATTAAGTGTTGTGTAGCATTTTCTTAGTAAATACTCTACAGGTTTTAAGGTCTTCATCAGTATGAATTTGATTTAAGTCTGTGAATCTTTTCTATATATCCCTATAGCTGTCTAGATAGAAATATCATACATAAAAATGATCTTTATTCCAGGGCTGATGAAACTCCCAGCGGTGAAAGAAGATTTAGGGATCTCTTAAGGTTTCTTATCACTGAACAACATAACTCTCTGATGGTTCAGTACCTGAAAGGGTCGTCTGAGATCTCTCATCAAATACTTCAAGGAGTCGGCTGGCAAGAGTGGGAACCCAGAGTAAATTCATGTCTACTTTCAAACATCTAATCTGCCATCTAATAAACTAGGAGAGGAGTTAATGTGTTACTTGGTGTGGTGCATTCAAACCTGTTATTTTAAGTTGCAACTACCACTTCTGGGGAGGTCTGAGTCACCTTAGCAATGACTACGTTTACTTTTAATATTTTAAAACACAAATTCCAAAACCATGGTTTGACGACTAGCAATATCCCAAGTTTTATCTGTAAATTACTCACAATATAGAAAAATCTCTTTGGATGGGATGATCAGAAAATATCCAGAAATATTTGTTGAAGGATGATCAAACATTTCATGTATCACTTTGGTTTCATTTCTAAGTAAAAGGAGTGTTTTTACTTATATCTATAAAAAATAAGTTGCGGGCTCTGGGTGTAGCTCAGTGGTAGCGCCCATCCTTAGCATGAATGAAGGCACGCGCGCAATCTACAGCACTAAAAGCTAATAGAACTGTCTTTTAGAAGCTAGAAATCAAATGCTCTAGGCCCGTGTTGTGCAGTAGGGCAGTCAATTCCCACCTGTAGCAGTTGAAATTTACATGAATTAAAATTATATAAAATTAGAAATCCATTTTCCCAGCCTTACCAGCTACATCTCAACTGACCAACATCAACCCGGGGCAGCGGCCTACAGTGGGGACGAGGTGGACAAAGAGAGTGACCCTCACAGCGAATTCTGCCAGGCAGGGCTGCTCAGCAAATGCCCTTCTCCAGCATGGTGTATCACAGACTCCTGTGTCTGTCTTCACAATTCAGTGCATTTGTTTTAGAATTTTTCGGCCCTAATAGAGTAAGTGACAGAATCACTGACACTTTCGTCTTCCATGAGCTGCAGAGAACATGTTACCACAAAGAGATACGTGTGGCATATGAGTATGTGTGTGCCTTTTGTATATATTCTCCCTTGGTCAGTGTGTAAACACAGCACAAAGTTGTAATCAATGAATGCTTACATTCCTACTCTAGTTCAAAGGCTTTCCCTTACTTTATTCTCTCCGGACCTTGATAATGAGCATCAGTAGGACCATGACATAGACTCAACAGTTTACAAGAAAAGACGTGGGCACACAAGAATGGATGTGGTGGTAATAAATCCGTTCTTATCTGGCCGAGGCTGAGGCTACTGCATTTACAACTGTATTTACAGCTGGGAGCAGCAAAGCTCTCTCATCACGGAGGGTGATTATGTGCTCAGGGCAAGCACTATGCTATACATACTGTGTGCTTCTATGAAACTGCTTCCATGGCACAGCCTAATTCTTTCGCATAAAAACTCAGCTATGTGAGCTTAAATGGAGTCAACACTGGGACCCTGGAACAGTATATTATTTGTAATAGGACAGACTTCATCTTAGAGAGCTAAAATTTTCTTGCAAAAGAATTACTTTCTAAACTGACATCAACAGGCCTCTCATTACTAGCAGATTGAGAGAGGAGATTAAAGCAAAACGAAGGCACACAGAGGCTTAATTCTGTGTTCGTATCTAGAAGCAGGGATAAGCTCGGGATGTGCCATTACCTTCATATTTCGGAGATAAAAATGGGTATCTGAATAAATAGAAGCCTTCAGCCTCAGCAGCTGTCACTAACATATTTCACCCTAATTGCAAAATATTTATTTTAAACATCAGAACACACACTGAGGAAGCAAACCTCAGCTGGCAAAAAGAAAATTTCCAATTGCTTACTTTTTCAGATTAATTGAAGCAATGTAGGAGAGACTAAAGATGGCATTTTATTCTATATACTTTATACTTTTGACTGTGTTCTGTACTTTGAGAAAGGAAGGAAGAAAATAATTGCAAGATAAAAGAAAAGGAGAAAAAGAAGGAAAGCAGGGAGAAAGTCGAAGTGTGAGGAACAACTTCTGTTATGGTTTGGATAGAGAATGTCCCCAATAGATGGCAGGTGGCCCTAGGCAGGGCCTTTGGAAAGTGACTGGATCCTGGGGTGGCATAGCTGACTTGCTGGTAGGAGGTGGGGTCTCGCTGGAAGGCCTGGTCAGGATGACCTGGAAGGGGATGATGTCTCTCCCAGGCTCCCTTCTTCCTTGTTGCTGGCTGATCAGGGTCTGTACCCATGAGTCAAAATAAATCTCCTCTCTTGCAAGTTGTGGGAGTCGGAATCTTGTCTCAGCAATGAAGACAGACTAGGAGAACTTCCACGACTTGGTGCAAATAGGAATTATTTTAATCTGCTCTGTGCCTTAGCAGCCAGATAGTACTTGGTGCACAGTAGGCAATTAGGGTCTATTTATTGAATAAAAAGTAACAATAAATTCACCGAATTTTGTCTGAGGCAAGAAAAAGGATGATTTTTCAACGTAGTATGTATCAGGATATCTTTATATAGTTATGAGCTTCCTTTACTCCAACATAAATCGCTTATGTTTGTGAAAGTGATTCAAGCACCACTTCCTCCCCCTCCCTTCCATTCTTTCCCACCCCTTTCTTTCTTTTCTGTTATCAACAGAAGTTTTCAGATCAATCAATCATTTTGTTGATGTTTGGGAATCTTCACCCTAAGAAGAAAAACTTCTTTACATCTTTATTTACTTAAAAATGTAATGCCTTTAAGGAATCAAAAGTAGACATTGAGTGTTTAATTCAGTGCCATGGAGCAATCGCTCCACCATGTCCACTCAATGCATCAGCATCTACCAGACCCCTGCTTGGCAGTGACAGGGAAAAAGGAGTAAGATGAATAAAGCAGCCCTCACTGTGGAGATTAGTGAGAAAATATTCCAAGCATATCCAAATACTTTAAGATTATGCATCGCACATTCTTTTCTAAAATCAGCAAGTTTATTTATTCATGAAGCCCAGCTCACTTGCCCCACCCCCAACCACCACACACACAGGAAATGGTGGAGAGAGAGATTGCAGAGAGCGATGTGGCATGGCTGGGTGCTGATGTTCTGGAGCGCTCCGGGGTCCAAGCACAGGCCGCTCAGTGGCCTGTGGGTGCGTGTGTAGCAGCAAGTGACGCAAGTGCCCAGGAAGCGCCTACGTGTGTAACTGAAGCGGGAGTGAGGGTCAACCTTGGGGCTGGGTCTTCTGACCTCACGCCACCGAATGCAGTTCTCCCGCAGGGCAAGCCGAGCTTCAGTTTGATCCCTTTCCTACTCTCTGCATTTCATTGTCTTTTTTAGGGAATCCTGGCATTCGAAGATGATACCTAAATGGTAACGTGTTGTTGGGCTGATGAGCAGGGTTACGATGCTTTAGACAGATAGACATGTGAGAAAGGTGGCTGGATGGCAGATCAAAGGCATTTTCTGACCGGAAGGTAGAAAATAGCAGTTGAGAGCTTTAGCAAATGCACTTAAGAAGCTAAAGGAGCTTCTCAGGCATTTATTACAAGCTCATTCAAACCCTTAAGGTTATTGAAGATTTTGTGAAAAGCACCTCTTAACGGACCAACTGTCAATTAGTAAAGAAGAAAATGCCTCAAGTAGTCCATTATGATGATGATCAAATAAACGGGCTTTGATTACTATAATAATGGTGGTGTAATGTATTAAAAAACTCCAGTTTTAGATATGAAAGGAATTCATAACTGGTGATCAACTGTAAAATCTACTGTGGAAAAATATGAGTATAATTACCCAATGTTGCCAATTTATTTTTTCTTCCTCCAACTTTTCAGGTGATCTATTATAATGAGAAACAAAAATCATTATGGTTTGATCATGGTAATCTAATTTTCTGGATGGCTTATTAACCTTCCAAGGATGTCTTTCTTCTAATTCTTGGTCATTACATCAGGCAAAAATTAGGCTAGGAATGAGAAATGGCAATTATATGATAAAGTCTGAGAAAATGCAGGATATTTAGCTTTGTGGTCAAGTTTGGATAAATTTACATGTACATGTATGTATGTGTGTGTATATATATATCTTTCTAGTTTCTTATTCGAAAGGTATTTTAATAAAACAAATTAAAACATTAAATATTTTTCTTAAACTACATCTGTTTCCTGCACCCTGTGTAGAAAATAAACAATAGGAAGAAATAGAGTGTGTCTGAAACACCACACCTCCATCTATACTTCTGACTTGGATACAATATCCGCCCCAAAGTCTCATTGAGTTGAATGCTTGGTTGCTGAGGGGATGTTGGGAAGTGGCTGGATCATGGGGGCTCTAATTTCATTACTAGATTAATCCACTGATGAGATTATAATTTGATGATATGATTGGCAGGTGACAGAAACAGGAGTGGGGCACAAAGGTATAGATAAAAGGGGCTGACCTTGGGGATATATCTGGTCCCTAGCCCCTTTTTCTCAGGCTTTTTCCCTTTCTCTTTGTCTCCTGTCCTCCATGAGGTGAGCAGACTTCCTCCTTCACACATTCCACCATGGTGTTTCTGCTCCCCTGAGGCTTTAAAGTAATGGAGCCAGCTAACCATGGACTGGAACCTCTGAAACCGTGAGCCACAATAAACCTTTCCTCATTTAAATTCATTTTCTTAGGTATTTTGTCACAGTGATGAAAGCTGACTACCCAGTCATGGGCCTAAGTCTTAGGAAAGGCACCTAAGAAAAGAATGATATTACAAAGCAATGTTTAGTTTTAGGCAAGCAGAGGCACAACTGAAAACAGGTGCTGGGATCATGGGGACCTTAGTTTAACACCAGGTTACACTTCCAGTCACAGAAACCCAAACTTCACAATCCTTATGTCATCTGCAAATGGGAATAATGATACCCATTGCATGTATGTTCCAAGATTAGAATATACAATATACAATATACAGAAAGAACTTGACTTTCAATACAGGAAAAGTACTAGAAATTTATTATCCTTTACCTTTCTGGATTGGGTGCTATTTCTTCACATTATTGTTTATTTATTTTTTTCTGTGGTGCTGGCTATCAAACCCAAGGCCTCATATGTGCTAGATTAGTGCTGTACCACTGATGTACACAATCTTGTGTTCCTGTTCATCAGAATTAACTCTAGTTGTTGGACTGAGACAGCAATAGAGACTAATAATTTTTATCATTGATGTTGGAGATGT